TCTCCTGCCCAGACCGATTGCTGGACAAGATCGGCATATAAAGCTGCACTTCTCTCCCATCTCACCCCTCGCACTTCCATTCACACATTGAGCTTTCATCATAGCAGAAGAGCACGACGTAGCAATTTCTAATTGGACACGCACAAGCAATCTGCTCAGGTCCTCGAATCGCACCTTCTTGATGTAGCACTTCTTTTCTTTATCGAAAGATAACCTCTCCGCATTTCTAGAGCCGATAAGCGCATCAAAACGCAAACTTTACGACACCAACCTTTACGACATCCCGAAAACGCCGATTCCTTCAGCAGATCTTTTCAAGCCACTGGTGCGAGGTGCAAGATGGCAATGCGAGGTCCGCAAAGCGTCTCTGCTCGTTCCATGGGAGCAGGAGGGGGGATGATGTCGCCGCCAAATGGAGCAGGCATGTCGGCCCCACCTCACAAGGGGACATTAACCCCAGGCACCAAAGTTCAGGTTGGCCAAATCACAGTGACGGTTCAAAAGTACCTCTCCGAAGGCGGCTTCGCTCACGTCTACCTGGTGAAGACCAACCAGCCCATCCCTTTGCCCGCTGCAGCCGGCGCGCAACCTGGCGCTGAGTACACACACGTCCTCAAGAGGATGGCAGTGCCGGACAAGGACATGTTGGCTCATGTGCGGGGAGAAGTCGAAATTCATGTGAGTCCGCTCGCAGCCGTTGACCAGCCAACGTGCTTCCCCGGCTATGCGAGCAACGAGTAGAAGACTGATGGCTCCACGCCTCCACAGCGCGCTCTTCGATCGCACCCAAATCTAGTGCACTTCATCGAAGCGTGTGCGACAGCGCTTCCTGGCGGGGGCTACGAAATTTTTATCCTCATGGAATTCTGTTCGGGAGGAGGTCTTATAGACATGATGAATGCGCACCTCCGCACACGGTTATCGGAGCCGGATGTGCTGCGAATCTTCTGCGACGTCGCTTCCGGCCTCTCAGCGATGCATCACTCTTCGCCGCCGCTGATGCATCGAGATCTCAAAGTGGAAAATGTCCTCTTATCTCCCTCACCGGGTCGAACTGGAGGTGTGACCTACAAGCTGTGCGACTTTGGCTCTGCGAAGCAGATCCTCTCGCGCAGAGCTCCTCGAAGCGTAGACGAAGTGCGCAAGCTGGAAGAGGAGCTCAACCGGACTACTACGCTGCAGTATCGTGCACCCGAGATGGTCGACGTGGGCCAAAGGCGCGTCATTGATGAGAAGGCAGACGTCTGGGCAATGGGAGTGCTGCTGTACAAGCTTTGCTACTACACTACTCCATTCGAGGAAAATGGTGGCGGACCTTTGGCGATCTTGAATGCGAGATATCGCTTCCCTTCTGCACCTAGCTATAGTCAAGGTGTGAAGGCTTTGATCGGTGAATAGATGGACTCGGTCTCACCAAAGCGCCCTGTTCGCGTGGTGGCTGATTCTTTTTCCTGTTTCGTAAACACAGCTTCGATGCTGCAGGAGCAGTCTTCTTCGAGACCGAGCATTGATGAGCTGATCGTGAGAGCGCACAAGCTTCTCGGCACTCCTCCACCAGCGAGTGTGGCCCATTACGCTCAATTGGTCGCCAATGGCAAAGTTGTATCCGAACTACCTTCCATCAAGACTGCGAGCGGTAGAGAGCTGGACGCGGATGCTGCTGCTCGAGCGTTGAGACCAAGCAAAGCTCAGGTCTCTGCGGCTGCAGAAGTCACATCTTTGATAGACATGGCGCCCTCCAAAGAAGAGCTCGCGAGGCTGGAGCAGCAGGAAAGAGAGAAGCGGGCAGAAACTATCACACCTATGCGGCGCGGCCGGCCTGGG